CAGTTTTTATTTTCCCCTCCTGGGCCTGCCTCCCTGAATTTAATTGGCTCACTCTTGGCCTAAAACCTGAGGTGGTTTTAAACCCAACCAAAACCGAGTGAGACGTTCTTCCTCCATGTTATTTCATTTCGTCATTTCACGTATTTTGACACAAGAATTTGAGAGGTGAAACCTGCCCCTAACTGGGCAAGGCACGCGAGGTCATGTCAAATCGCCACCCTCCTCCTCCTCGATACCCACTCACGATCGCCTCCTACACACCGACCACTACTAACCCACCTATTATTTTAGCTTATTTAATCATGCAGAAATGTCCATGTAATAAATGTTATCATAATTCAAAATTTAAAAAGACGGATAGAGAAATGTTAGGCAGTTTCAAATACTCCAATAAAGCACTAACACAACTGCAGTGGGTGACCTCAATATATTACTTTCACAAAGAGACAGATCAACTAAACAAAAAATCAACAAAGAAATATCAGCGCTGAAGCCCATCTCTGAACAAATGGACTTAATGGATATCCACAGAGCCTTCTACCCTCCCACAGCAGAGTACACACTCTTCTCAGCAGCTGGTGGAACTGTCTCAGAGCCAGACCACAAAGTCTGCTTAAGTAAACACAAAAGCATGCAAATCATCTCACGTTTACTGTCGCCTATTGTGCAGTGAAAGTAGAAATCAACCACAGAGGAAACCACAGAAAGCTTATAAACACCCAGAAACTTACTTCTGAACACGAAGTGACTCACAGAAGAAATCAAGGAACATAGTAACTACTACTGAAAAGTGTATTATGAGAAATTAGAAAATCCTGACAAAATAGATAGATTTCTAGACACACACGAGTAACCAAAACTAAACCAAGACAACACAAAATTCTGATCAGTCCAATAATAGGCAACAAAATTAGGCAGCAATAAGTAAATAAATAGCCTATATATCTATCAACAGATGAATGGATAAAGAATATTGTACACAATGGAGTACTATTCTGCCATAAATATGGATACACTTAATTCATTTATAGGAAAACTGATGCACCTTGAGACCATAAATATGAAGTGAAGTAAATCAGACAGCTTAATATCACATGGATTCTGTTATATGAAAAACTCAATGTATCAATAACATGAAAATAAAAGAGAATAGGAAAAAAGAGAGAGAGCAAAATAAAGACTGACAAAAGGAGCAATGGAGAGGGCAGTTTCCGATCTTTCATTTTTCCCACAGGAATGGACCAAGAGACTGAGGGTGCTGGGAGTGGGTGAGGAGAAGGGAATGTAAATGACTTGAGATGCACCAACTGCCCACCATGAAGGTAATCACTGTGTGTTGGAAATACGAAGTAAAACCCTCAACAATAATGCTGAAAATGGGGAAAGGACATCTAGGAAGCAAGGAAGGGAGGTGGGTGAGGAGGGGCAGAATTAAAAGAATCAGTGAGTGTTTCGGGCATGGACCCCTCCCCAAGATGCATGTCGATACCCTGTGTTGCAAACATGCACTAACAAAAGACTCCTTCCCTCTTGCAGACTGTCAGTATGTAATCACTCTCACTCACTGCAACTGTGCAAGAGGCTGCGGTATATTTTAAATGCTTTTTTCTGTTTCTTGTTCTATTTTGCAGCCCCTACTACCTTAGAATGAATATGATTTATTTCTATGATGTTAGTGGTAACCTTGAAATTTTAACATACATTCTTAGCAAAGTACAAACTTCCTATAAAACAATCCCTTTTGAACAAGATTATTGACAGCAATGGAGAGGGCACTTTTTGTCTTTTTTTATAAATAAGTGAAAGAGATTTAATAGCCATTAAGTTTCTGCAATCCTGCTTCCTCCTTGGGAAACATTTTGATCTAATTTAAGACAAATGCATTCAATATACAATCAGCAGAAATACCATCATTCAAATTCACTCAAGACTTGTTCTGTAACTGCATCTCAATTAGACTATTAGTTTGTTTTTTGGTGCAGTGCTAGAAATGTGAGTGGCATATATTGTATAGTGACAGAATTGATTCATGTATTTAACAGCTAAAATGTTGATATATCACTGTTAATTAATTGCACATTATTTTTTATCAGCCACTTCCTTAGTTGGAAATAACATAAATTAATTTTAGAAGTGATTAATTCTTAGCTGATACTTTGTTTGGATTTGATCACATTAGAAAAGAGTATTAATTTGTCTACAAATGGAACTGAAGATAATATCAGTATAGAACGAGGTACATTCTTGTGTTTAAGAATTTAAGACAAGTAGCTCTCTTTGGCCAGTCAGTTATTACTGCATTTGAAATTCCCAACATCCATTGCTATAATATATTCTAGTTCTAGGCCTTGAGATGTACCCAAAACTTTCCCTTCAGTACTCTTTGCCTTCTAATAATGTATTTCCCATTCCTTCCTTTTATTTCATGTTTTACCTTGGGGCAGGTCTGAAGGAACAATATTTTTAGGATACACTGTATAGTTCTTTCCTCAGACAAAAGGTTTCCAAAATATTTAAAATATTAATATCAGGAAGATATGGGTGCATTATTTAAATTTCAGATCTGTGTTTTTAATTTTTTTTAAAAAATTGACATTAAATGTGATACAATCTAACTCATACCTTCCCAATGTCTTCTTCAAAACTCCATGAAAAGTACGTTTATTAGATATTTACCACATTTACAAATAAACACAGAATGAGAATGAAATCACGTTCAGATATTAGGAACATATAACCTAGTAAAAATAAATCCACCCAAGCAAGTATAGATCGAAGCATAATACTCTGAGAACTGCGGGGGAAACCTGATGTCGCAGTGACTCTCCCTGAGGCGATGGGGAGATGTCTGGGTACTGCTGGTTCTCGTCGGCGTCTTCCTGTTCATGTTCTTTTTATCGCTACAGTAACGTCCCAGGCTTTGGGGAATGCGTTGCATCAGGATGGTTTCAAGCACCTCAATCAGACTGAACCGTGAGGGTTAATGAGGAGATTACCCGTCACCCTGCCCCAGCCCTGCGCCCGGGTGAGCTCCTGGTCACTGGTCACTGGGCCCGAGGTCTCTGCCTCCAGCGCCAAGGCGGAGACACAGGAGCAATGAGAGGTGGGCGCTGGCACGGAGTGGGTCAGCCCGGAAGAGAGGCAGTGCCTGAAAGTGTCACCGTCTCACTGAGCCTCCTTTGGGCAAAGACGAAAGAAAACAAAGAAGAAGGAAGAAAGGAAGAAAGCAAAAAGAAAGAAAGAAAGTACAAGAAGTCTCATGCACACAAGAAAACTTCATTATGCCACCACCCACAAGCAAAAATACAGGTACACTCGGCTGTACAGAATGATGACTGCTTAGTGCACATGATACTGAGCATTTCCTGCTTTACAAATGTCTGAGGCGATTTTTCATGCTTATCCCTAAGAAGATAAAAACTAATGTGCGCTAGACAAGGGATCCTCATATACTCAGGAAACCAGCTTACAAAAATGCAGCAATAAATCCCTGACATATCTGGGCATGTCTTCCATTATGTTCCTTAGAAAATACTATTATTTGTATTCCTCGTTTCCTCTTTCTATTTATTACTCCTCCTCCTCCTCCTAGTACAAGTATTACCACTACAGCTACTCCTACCACGTCCCAGTGGTTCCTTTAGCTTTTGCTTCCTAAAATGAAGTGAAGGGAAGTTTTCTGGCACAATAACTCTACAGTCCTTTGCCGGCATGGTCTCCACCTGACAAACTCACTCTAGATGTCTTTTCCTCCTCCCTTCTTTGTAGCCTACAATTCCAGCTAATACTTTTCCTTTGCTTCATATACTCTGCTTTCTTGTTGCCTGTTTTTATCTTTTCTTCCAGTTAACCAAATCCTAACCATAGTTCAAAGCGCTCCCTTCTTGGGAGGTCTGAGCTCATCAGCTGCGGCTGTAGGTAAAGCATGGAGCGGGGTGGCTTTCTAAGGCCTGTGCTGAGGGTCGGCAGTACATTTTCCTCTTAACCTCAGGGAGATGGTACAGTGCCCTTGGAACACTTTTCCAAATTCCTGAAGCCACGGGGTCCTATGACTTACAATCACAGAATCTGAAGGTTAGATATCATGTTTTTATGAGTCTCTCATACTTTCTTGAGTACTTTAATTAAGTCTTGGATATAACACTCAATAAATATTTGGTTCTGTTTCAGTCCAATGCAGTAGCTAGGGATTGGCACTTGAGAAGCACCAGTTCAAAGGTGCCACGAGTGTAAAACACACACACCATTTCAAAAGAGCAATACAAAAATGGTATGGTAAACCATCGATACATTTCTGTATTAATTGCATATTGAAATAGTTTGCTTATGAGTTAGATAAGAGATGTTATTAAAATAATTTTTGCCTGCTTCTTTTTACTCAACGAATCTTCCGAAAATTCATACTTACATTTGTTTCAGATAGCATTGATTTAAAATGATTTGTTTTTACTAATTAATCTGAAAAAATACAAAGAAAAATTTATAGCTTCCTACAAACAGAATTTCTCTCCATATTTGAATCTTGATATTTTAGAGAGTTTCTATAAGTTTATGCAATATGACATCACACCAATTCCAAAATCCACTAACCCTCTCAGGCTTAAACTTATATTAAAGTAGTGAGTATTAATGCACAGAAGCAAATGAAACATTGCTGTGCTGCCAGATGTGCTTTGAACTAAATACTTAGTGACCGTGAGTTTAAGGCAAATGCAGGATTGTTGTGCCTCATTCACTGAAAAGATGTATTTATTTGAATGCAGGTGATGTTTCTTTCAGGATGAAGATCAAGAAGTTTCTATCATGAATTATAATTTCAAGTTATCCAAGTATTTTATAGACGTTGCAACATTGATAAGAATAAAAGCTAAGAAATTCATGTTGGGGCTTTAGGAGGGAATAACTCAATCTTTGAACACATGAAAAATAAAAATATTTGTAGATTTCAGCTTTAAATTGATATGTGCAGCAAAGGGAGCTTGTAGACACACAGTACTTACTTGATACTTTTTCAGGTTTTTCTGCTAAAAAAGGAAATAAATTTTAATGAGATAAATGCAAAAAATGACAATATGAATCAACGGACTACATAAAAGTATGGGATAGCTTTTGAGTCTCTTCCTTATCAGAGTTAGTGAAGAAGTATAGCCCCTTATTGCTGGTGAACATGATTCATTGAATATCTGTTATTGCCTTTCATGTCAGAAAATTTGTGAGCTAACAAACAGCTATCATTCATTTCAGGGGTTATATTTATGCTTCAGAAATGTTCTTAACAACAATCAGGAGAAACTTTGTTAATTGTTTTGGCTTGACTATAATTTACCTAATTTGAATGAAATTACATTGCATAATATAGTGGATCTAAATACTATACTTGCTTTAAAATTTCCAAATTCACTAAAACATATGATTGAGACTTATTTGCTTTTCAAAGACAAATAAAGACAAATAACTACCAATTAGACTACAAAGTTAAAAGTATTTTTAAGGCAAAATACAAAATCAGTTTTAAGTTTCAATGAGATATTATTATATGCTCAAGTAATACATTTTTATTCAACATACATATATAGTACAAGAGATAAAAATTAACATGCTTATCCTAAATAATATAGTAGACATTATACCATCTTTTAAAAAGATTGGTAACATATCTATTCTATCAACATTTGCTAAATTTGAAGAGCCACACTTCAAAATATAATTTCTGAAGGATCTCCATTACATTATTTACTTTGAGATTTGTAGAGTTTCTCATGTAACCTCAGCATTATCAATTTAAAAAATTAACTTACAAAAAGATTAACTTATGCCAATAAAAAAATTTCAAGAAAACATTTTCAATTGGTATATTTATGTTTTTAAAAAATTAATATTATGGCATCATGTTTCACACAAAGAATTCCTCAGAAAATAACCTGGCAAAATACTTCACTCAAACATAATATGTTATTATTTTTTCTTTAAAACTTCTAGCACTGGTTAGGAAAACAAGGACTTAGAAAGGAACAAAATAAACATTGAGAAACATGAAACTAGTGCTGAACAAAGGAATGAATAAAAAGGGCCTACCTTTAATTAGTTTCTGTGTTGGGCTTGTATTTTCATAAGTAACTTTTTCTCTATTGTGTATTCAAAATGTTAAGATCTCATAAATAACAGAATCATAGAAAAATGTCCGAGCATCTCTCAGAAGCCTGAATCCCTTCTAAACTGAGCTATTAGGGAAGCCTCCAACCCAGCCAGAATAGACCATCCTCTGGGCAAAGTGGATACATTGTACCTTTGGGCTGCTCTGATTGGTGGGAATCCCAGTGACATTGCTACAGGGTAGTGAAGTGTGACTGGATGGCTGAACAGGCTCTGCAGTCCTAGGCACTAGGACTTGGAGTTAATCCAGTCGCTACTATGTAGAGACTGAGATGTTACACTTCATTTCACTTGTCTTTAATCAAGGGATGGTGATTGGACTACAGTAAGGATGGAATAAAATAATAAGAATGGATATAGCTGTGTATTTTCTAAGTAATCTGTTTCTTCTCATTCTTGCTTATTATCTCAAGAAGATATTAAACAATAGTTTGAAAAAGTTCCAGTATAAAATTTTTCCCTACATCATGCCATAAATGTGAATATCTCTTTTATTGTGCATTTTAGGCTTTCATTTTACTGAGGTTATGTTTAAATTGTTAGCAATCATGGCTAAGTTATATGTCTAGATACACCTTGCCTGACAGGTGTACATACTACAGTGAGGAATAGAACAGGCTTCTCTCCCCAAACTGGAGAGCTTATGTATTTACTAGGAATAAAGATAGTTAGCTTGCTTTGGTATGTCTACCTACAGTCAAGGAATTTAAATGGACTTTAAAGCATATTTTGATTTAATTGAACTTGTCAAAGATTATGTCATGCAGACTATATAATTCTGTTAGGTTTGTGATAGCATCACCAAAATAGATCATTCTTTTTTTGTTTTTTTGTTTTTTTTTAAAAGAAAAGAACATCTGTCCTCTATTCTCATACTGGTGTTGTCCAGCTTTGTGTGTAGGTTGAATAAATTTAAAGTATCATCTTATAAAATAATAAAAAATATATACATGATGTTAACTGTATTTTGTTTAGTCATAGATAAAATAAATCCCAGATACATTTTTTAAATACTAGAGGTGTATCATTTTGTCATGCTACAAAACTACTTTAAAAAAGTGAAACTTCCTTTAGTGTGCATTGGAGTATCTGTTGAAAGTTTATTTATTTATTTATTTATTTTAAATTTCCTATACCAGGGATTGAACTCAGGACCTTGTGCTGGCAAGGCAGGTGCGGTGCCACTGAACAAAATCCCCAACCCCTTGAAAGTTTATGTTCTTAATAGTTCTGATTTCTTTACATTTTCTAATTTATTATTGAAAAATTTCTGCTACAGTTTCTATCTGTCGACATTATCAGAAGTGTGTACCTACTAGACTTCCTTGCTTTAAAGTACGACGAGTATTCACATTCATAGTGTTAGATACCCACAGGATTCAGCCATGTCTTATCAGCTCAACATCTGAAAATGAGGTGAAGCTGAAGATTACCTTTTGTCACATTATGCAAATGAAGTCTTTCTTTTCTTGTTGGAACTGTTAAAGGAAAGTTAAAATATTAATTTGTGATGGAAAATTTCATTAAAATTTTGCCTCACTTTAAGTGTAGGAACATGGGAATAATGTTAAGTGTTGTAAATATTTCTTTTTTCTCTGGTACATTGTACAAAATTCTGTGTTTTATCTAAATAATATCTAATAAAATAAATGTTAGCAATAGATCACTTTGTTTCCAAAAACAGAGACATGAGTGTAGTGATTAATTTAATTAGAATCCATGCAAAACAGATCATTGTGATAAGCTGAATTTGGAGAGAAACAATAAAATATCTTTTTTTGGGTTTGTTTTTGACCATCATTCTGACACCTCTAAGGATGATTTCCTCCTGATCAACTGAAGTTTTCTAAGATAGTTAAAGTTTTTGTGAGTTTTCAAGATAATTACACCGAAATCAGTGATTACTGTAATGTAAGGTGTATTTCACTGACTAAACCATCTGAATGTTAAGGTGGAGACAAGAGCATTTCTAACTTCCTGTTCATACCAGACAGAGGCTGGTTCCTAGATTTCCCATCAGCCTCTACTGCCCTGAACCCACAGTAACACATAGCCACCATTACTTACCACGTTTCCTCCGTTACCCAGACCAGCGTCCATCCCACACATGCATAGAAACTTCATTTACCGATGGTACAAATAGATTCTGACTCAAAAATAGTTTCATTTCGGGCTTTGTATTGTTTTAAAATCTCTTAAAAATTACTTTTTTCTTCTTGAACATGCTTCACTTCTCTTCTCAAGAATGTTTTATATATATATAAACACATATATTAAGATATATATATTGCAATATTGGGTCTTGAATCCAGGGACTTCACACTGAGCTCCCTTTTCCTTTATTTCTTTGTATATTTGTTTACACAGAGCTTCACTAAGTTGGTTCATTTCCAAGGCTGTGCTCAAACTTGTGACCCCACCTCCCAGAGTGCCAGGATGTAGGTCAACTTCACTGCACCCAGCTAATGAACTACATTTGCTAATGTGTCTTCTTCATGCTTAGAATTAAATTTTGTACAGTCACAATTCACATTTCTGGAGTCCCCTGAAAGTAAATCTTTGATATTAATTTAACAATGATTGGTAGAGTTTGCTTCAGGATCTATACTTGTATACTCTTTAGATATTTCATAGTAGTATGATCAGATGCTTTCAACTGCTGCATGGATGTGCTGTAATTCTGATGTATGCTATAAAATCAGGGTCCTTATTTTGATAAAGTGTTTTCAAGTCATATACTTTGTATGCTTATGTGGATTTTTCTTTTGTTTTTTCCTATGGCTATTTTAATGTGCATATCTTAACATGTCACCTTACCTTTTTCAATTTTTTCATGTTTTTCAAGTTTTTCAATTTTTTCAATTTTCTTCTTTCCTAGGGAGAAAAAAAGAAGTCATCATCTTAAAAACACTATGTTCTGACTCATTTCTGGAGGAATTGATTGGAGAGGAGACGACCACGTGAGTGCAGGAGTGGTGGTCAGGGCTCTGCCACCTTGAGATGACAGAGAGGAGCATCCCTCTGCAGGAACACTCATTCTGCTTCCGTCAGTCACACGCACCCACTGCCTTTCCTCCCTACACGACTTGAAGTGAAGCAGAGTACACTGTGCATTTATTAATGAGTCTCATCTTGAACCAACAGGAAGAACATCTCCATTTCAGTTGTTATCTTTAAATACGAGCAGGGATTTAACTGGTGTGGTAGATGCCCAGGAAACACACAAATGAATGGAAACACTGGAAATTCGGCCACACACTGTCTCCCACAGACTGTGTGTGCAGCTTCCAGAACGGAGGTGCAGTGGACTGATGACTTCCTTCACTATGTTTTTCAGACAAGCGTGTGAAGGAAACCAATATTCACGAGTGATAGCCAATTGTGAGGTGCAAAGGTGACACGGGTTACTTCTCTTAATCAATAAACAAACTGGGCATTACTTCTGTAGGATAGGAGGAATATGAGTATGTAAGGGATTTTCTAAATTTACAGAACTAGACAGAGATTCAAATTTACATAGCATTTTTACATCTCATCATCCCTGCTGTGAGACAGTAAACACTTACCTGATTGTGTAACTTCTGCTGTCCCTTCTTTAGAAAAAAAAGTCATGTGAAAAAGAAAAAGAAAAGAAAATAGAGTTTATTTCAGTAGTAAACAACTGGAGCTATTTTCCTCGATTACTTACTAAATTACAATAGGCACATATACTCAAAAGGAGAAAAAATACCGTTATCTGAAAAACGTAGAAGCATAGAAGGCATTTATTTTGAAAATGAAACATTCTACAAATTAATCTAAAACTGTCTATTCATATATGATGGAATTAAGCAATTCTAAGTCCCTTGTTTTGTTTCCCTAATTACACATTATTGAGTTCTAGTATAAATGTTTAGCTTGGAGCTTTACTCATGCATCTGTGCATTCACTTATTGACTAGTGCTAAAGGAACCTTATTTGTAAACTGCGGTACTGAGCGCAGCTGAGTGGGATGTGGGGTAGAAAACCTGACACAACTCCTGGTGACAGCGATCAAGTAAGGGAGAGAAGTGAAAAGACAACCACATTTAGCCTAATACAATGCAGTCCTCGCTGTTCACTTTTGTTTCCTAAGTTCGTTCACAGACAACTAATATTTCTAAATATAACCCAGAGGACTTTTTTCTCATAAATCAGGTCAAATGAAAAGATTTCTAGGAAAAAGAGCTTCTCTGCAAGTGTAAGAAATCTCTCTTATGAAATCATTGTTTTCTGTAAACTTGATGGACTTATTAGCAGTGTTATATAATGTCTGAGGAAACTGTCTTCAAAACTTAAGCGAGATAAGGTGATTAAAGTACAATAATAAAAATAATGAATGTTTCCTAGAAAATAAAATTTTCGAATGATTAGCATTCCAGTTTAACATGAAAAGCTTAATTTTAGGAATAATCTCCACATTAGTAGCAATAGCACAAACTCAGTGTACCAGAGCCTCTCCCAGTTGAAGGACAGTATTTAATATTTAAGATTGGCATCAAATCTGTGTAGCAGAATTTTTAAGGGACTTCTTGTAACACTAAGAAAGCAGATTAGTCTTTAGCATTTAAAATATTTAAAAGGCCACCTCTTCATTCTTTATTGCATTTACATATTTTTATCTCAGAGTAATGTCTGGGTAATATTTTGACAGTATTATTTACACAATTTAATTATTTAATGTTCCAAGTTATTGTTCTTCAGAATGTCTTAAATAAAACAATGATTATGACTCACTGAAGACAATGAATCTCAAAGCATTGAAAAAATAAGAAAATAAAAAGCTAATGAATTGCTATTCAGTAATTCAAGGCAAGTATTTGGAGAAGTGAACATTTCTTAACCCACAATGTGACTATCAGAGGGTTCTTCCTGTTAATGTTTACTTAATACATCCTAATAAGCAACTGAAAGTAGGCAAAAGAGACAGACAAATACTTGTTTTGTGCTGCAAGTAGTTCATGATAAATGTATTAACTACACATGCATGACATATACTAGTACACTGCAGTATACCTGGTAAGGACTCAATAAATACATGGTCAGGGGTAAATGAATGGAATTTACACAATATTATTTATCAACCAGAATTTCACATAGCTTACAGTACAATGGTTATTACGTTCATAAATATGCCATAGTTTTAAACTGTTTTTTCAACTCAAGGAAAATATAAATCAAAATAATGTAGAATATTCTTAAAATGTTAAAATGATACACTTACTTGAACTCGGTTTCAGTTTGTCTAAAAATAAAAGAAAAAGAAAATGAGTGATAATTTTGGATCTATGAATAATACATTAGTATTTCATATTTGCTGTTTCTGATTTTCTAATAGTTAAAATTGAAGAACAATGCTAAGTGTATGTTAAAATAGACAATAAGGAATTTTTGGAGTACATTTGACACATTTTTCCAATGAATTTAACTCTAAATCTAAAAAAAAGAACTTTTAAGTACCCTTTTTATTCCTCCAAAATATCATTTTTAAGTTGTTATAGCATGAATGTTTACAACAATCTGCACTTAACTGTTTCTGAATGCTGTAGAATGCATACTTTGCCATTGTCCTTTCTAAAATTTATTAGCATTAATTGAACAATTGCACTCTTCAAGTATAGTATGAATAAAATGGTATTATAAGATCTCAGGAAGAATAGCAAATAATAGATTAAAACTATAGCATATAAATGTTTTCTTTCCCCAATATAACTTGTCTTCTGAAATTATTAGCTAAAATATTAATTATGCAGTCTTATACCTAATGTTCTATTTATTCATAAAATAAACAATATTGACTGTAAAGGATTTGAATCATTCATAATCAGGTCAGTTAAATTTATATTACATGGGAATATAAATTGATACACCTTTTTAAAAAAGAATTTGATACATCTATAAAAATTATATTGCATGTACCTTTTTATTAAATGTTCTGGTTTAAGGTATTTTAAGTTTGAAAGTAACAAAATTGTGCACATTTGTTAGTTTGTTAAATCAACAAAACTAGAAAAGCAGATATACTCATTATATCTTTCAAGAAAGCCAGTAAAACAGTTTATATATATCTGTATAATAGATTATTATTAGAGGAAATTATTCATGTAATTTCATTTTTAAAAACTTCAAGATACATTATGTCATCATTTGTGTCAGAAGATGAAAGGGGATATATATATGTATATATTTATATACATATTTAGATATATAGATGAATAATGCTAGAATAATGCTTTAAGAAATAGTAATCATCTATTGAATATTCAAATGTTTTGAAATGGGTATTGGAAGTACAGGAAAGATGAAAGAGATGCATATTTTTTCAGTTAGACTCCCAGTGTTTGCACTATGTAAAATATTACACATTTTAAAAAAAGGAATAATACTATGAAAGAAGATATCATAGAAAGAATAACATCTATTTTAAGAAAATATATCAGTTGAAATTCACGATTAGTGAAAATAACATGGATAATTTAATAGATCATTGTAAACTACCAAAATTAGTTAAATTCATCAGTATGATAAATCACAATAATAAGGACAATAGTTAATACCAAGCATAATGGAAGGATCTTGCGAATCATGAAAGAAATTAATTTGTGAATGCTACTGTCTTACAGTAGCATATTTGGTAATGCGTATTTGATTGATGACAACACCACAGCTCCTATTCAGATAAATTAGGTTGTACAGCAAAACCACAAAACTAAACAGTAGTAAGAAGTCGCATGAGAAGAATGTGACACGTTTCTTTACTTTTCAAATGTAATAAAAACAACAAATTAAGGTAGAATATAACAAAAAAAAGACCAAAACCAAATACCTGTCTTAACAGAGGAAGGTTCTTTTGGTTGATGCTCAGCTTTTCCTAGAAAGAGAAATGAAAATTCTCTGGCAATCAGTAGATTCATTGCATAGTCAGTCCTCAGTGGGCACAAAGGTGTGCCCTTAAATTAGTTTATGTAACTTGTAACACAGAAAGCATGTTGCCATAGAAACACATTATACTCAAGGTTAGGTTCCAGAATCTTTCCCCTATATGTAAAGACAGTCCCAGGAATGAGACTTCTTGGGACCAGGTGGTTTACAAAGAGGAGAACAGCATACGCCAGAGGAGAATTTCTCTTTCTGTGTTGGCTGAAGGTTGAGTCACTCCCTGAAGCATTTTAAGTTAGACAGCATTTGCCCTTAGCATCTGATCAGCTCCTCTTACTGCTTCAACTCCTACTTTGCTTCTTGCAAGTCCAAAAGCAATTTAGTTCTGAGTACTGGTCTTTTATGTAGAATTTCATTCAGTCTCCTCGATTCCAGAAAGTTCCACATGTTGGATTTTTTCTGTCCTGTACCACCCTCCCCTTCCAGACCCAGTTAGAACTCTCACTGTTGCATTTCAGCTGATTCTAGGAGGTTACAACAGAACCAAAATTTGTGAATAAGCGACATGCTCCTTAGCCCTCCGAAAAATATGTGAAATAGAAAAAGCGGAATTTAAAATGAAGCTACGTAGGGCGGGATACAGTGAGTGGACGAGAACGGGTGGAGACCCTTAGGATGTCCAGGGTCAGTCCTCCTGAGCAGTCCTTCCTCTCCTCTCCTGAACTCAGATGTTCTCAGGAAATGTGAAATACATGATGAGATGGAGGACTCCAGGTATCGTAAGACTGAAGTGGATGAAAATTAGCATTCAAGAATGAACTCCTATGGACTAAACATTATATAAATGTTATATTTAATAATGCAAAATAAAAACGTTACGAAGGCCATTTTCAAGGTGAGCGTTTGTGATGTTTTATCATCAGAGCAGCACTACAGGAAGGAAAACAAATCAAAGGAACGGTAATCATGCCACGTGTGTGTCGAGACCTGCCACAGGCTCCAGGAAGCGCTTGTGCCTCGGCTGGGCTCTGCTCCTTTCTGCGGTGACTCTGGAGCCCTCAGCGTCCCTCGCCCGCGGGTCTCTGGACACTGCCGATCTGTTCTTCACATGGGAGCCACTGCGCGTGTGACCACCGCGCTCAGGCCTTCGTCAGAGCTTTGGTTTCCAAGTGCGGTCAGTCAGGGCCCACGCTGCGATCCGACACATTGCTGGGCCCCTCACCGCCTGCGTGACCATCGCCAAAAGTCCCTGCGCTGCCTCTCCGATCTCGGTGTCGCCCGTGCGATGCCACGGAGGCGCTCCCATGTCCACACATGGGAAATTTCACGATGTTAACGAGTGACAAAGCATTTACACTTTCCAGATTGCTAATGAAAACCTGCCTTCAGTGTCATTAAAGGGCTTCATGAAAGCAAATTGAATGTATATGCATATGTATAGCTCGCAGCACTGACAGCTATACATCCTTTTATTTTCCTTTGTTACTTATTGTGTATGTTTAAGAGATTTGTTGGTTACCTGAACTTATTTAGGCATTTTAATTATTTTTTGGCGGACTGCGGATTGAACCCAGGGCCTTCTCTCTGAGCTACATCCCCAGCCCCTTTTTAATTTTTGACTTTCGGCCTGTTAGGGTTTAGACCTGAAGTGACCCCCAAAGCCTCATGTTCTCAGAAAGCGTCCGGTCAGCCAGAGGGCCATGGCACTCGTCCGTGGACCACGCACTGATGAACTCAGAAGCTGCACTTGCTCTCAGGAGGGACCTGGCTGGCCGAGGTCACGGGAGGTGTGACCTGGACAGGTGGATCCCTGTCCCAGACCCACCTCCTCTTTCTCTGCTTCTTCGCTGCCAGGATCCACCTGTCTTCTGCCACGATGCCTCTGCCTTAGAGCCAGCCTCGCTTGGACTGAAACTGCGGCCAAATTCAGCCTCTCTTCCTTTGAGTGCTGAGTGTTGGGTATTTCGTCTCAGCCACGAGAAGGCTGAGCTCTCATTATGACGCTCAGGCTCCATTCAAACTTGCGATCCTCCTGCCTTGGCCTCCCAGAATGCTGGGATTAGGGTGTGCGTCACCATGCAGTTTATTCTGGGCACGGGATAGCCTGTGTGCCCTCACTCGTTTAATATCAATGATAATGATACAACTTCCAGACATTTCTTTTATATAATGAAGGAATTACTGACGATAGGCAAAGCTACCTAATCAAAACCATAGCAATAACAATGTATCACTTTCACAAGCAATTTAGTAATAGGCCACAGAATAGAGGACAATTTTCAAAAACCATGGCAATTGTTAAAATTGAAATGGTCGAGCAATTCTTAGACAACTTTCATTACCTGGTTTGAGCTTGACAGTGGGGAGTTGAGGAAAGTCAGTGGCATGTTGAGAAGTATGAACCCTGAGAAAAACAACTGTTTCATATTTGTATGTATGTGTTTTTAATTTTAGTTTCCTCCTTTGCTTACACCATTTTCTCTGAGAGCTGTTATTCATTGTCAGGAAGTACATCAATCAAATTTCTTATTGAAAAACCAATGAAACTTTAAATGCACATAAAACTTAAAACACTCTACAAGAATATTTGGGGTACAGATATATTGGCTCATTTTTTAATTATCTCTAAATACCATACAACAGTGAAATACTCAGGGAGGTACAGCAGTGCTTAGAGTGCAAATCGGAGCATTTACTAACAGTATGAACTTTGGTAGTGGATGAAGGACAATACAATGGTCATATGAGTAACGTGGGGTGGCCTCTTGAAATTTCCTTCTTGCTCAATTATACAATTTCTGCTACTAAAATGCTGAAATGCAAGGACTGTGAGTTGTTTGAGACCAGCCTGGGGAACTCAGAGAGAGAGAGACACACACACACACACACACAGACAGAGAGAGAGAGAGAGAGAGAGAGAGAGACAGAGAGAGAGAGAAAGGGAGAGTTTTCCTTTTCCTCATGGAATAAAAAAATTAAAATTTGAATAAATAATTAATTCTGTCCTGAATTCTATTTTCCTTCAAGACACTGTATTTAAATCTTGATTATCTCCGGTAAAAGAAAAAATAAATCACTGTATAGCTTCTTTTAGAAGCTTATGAGTAAGAAATGAGACTTAATGGTCAATGTGGGTAGAATTTTGATTTTACAATCAAATGGAGAGATTTAATAGGTCAAGATGTCAGTTAAATTGAAGATGCAGAGATTTTCTTTCTCTATACAGGAAACATGTCAAAACTGCAAGCATGGTGCATTCTTTTTTCTTATATGAAATAATGAGGAATGAGCCATTTTTGCTTTAATATTATGTGTTCTACTGATATTTAAGGCTGATTTAAGAGTCATATATCCACACAACTCTGTAGAACTCTCATGAAAGGAAATTCGCCTGTATAATTCATAAACTGTAGGAAGCTTCAGATTTATGTGTTTTTAGTATGTGAAGAAATGGGGTTTAAAAATAAGATTAGACACTTATGCATACATAATGATTAATGCATTACATAGATTTCCTTATGAATTACATGTAAACTTAGGTTATTCACACTTTAAAATGATTATTGTAGGACTCTAGTTTTTATTTTTAATTAAAAATTTTACAGTTTCACTATTCCCCAAAATTCAAAATCTTACAATTTGTGGCATTAAAATCTAGATGCTACAGGAAATATATGTGTGTTGTCTTATAACATAAAACTGATACACCAAAGAAAGAAATAAAATACCTTATTTACCTGGTTTTTCTGCTGTGACCGCTTTTACTTGTTTGGAAACTTTTTCTTCTGTGACAGAAAAAAATGGTAACATAAGTAGGAACTTTTATATATCAGTTTAAAAATGGTGACATATTTTAACCTTCATAGTTTGAATTGGCTTGAAAGTGCAACAGCATTAACAAAAACATATCATTTGCTCCGTAAAACAGCAAATACTATCTTCTACTTAAGTGAATGGGACCACAAAGAAAACCTGTCCAGCAAGATGTCCTCGGGGCTCTCTTGCTGTTGATGCTTAGCTGTTTAATTTGTCCTTAACCTGCCCACACAAATGGAACTGAATATAGATACACAGGGGGGTGTGTGCCTTTATTAAATACTTATTCCACTTCCATTATTACATTCAAATAGGAAGTAGCAATTTTGAATCTTTCTTATGCAGATAGCTCTGTGGGAACCCAGGACTAGCTGGAGAACCCAAATTTCTTATGTTGTGAATGCGGAAGGGACACACAGGTGCTATGTGCATGGAAAACCTTCTAGCCTCTCTGATTTTACAGAAACACGGGGATTCTCAGCAGAGGAGACATTACCACAGTGATCCTATGTAAAACTCAGCTTCTGAGGTATTCATAAGTAGGAATAAACTGGTGGTCACCCATCCTTAGGAAGTTTTATTGGTTGTCAGAGAGCATGAAGAGCATGAATCTGTACCTGAAGGAAGCGTTGTGTCTGGAAGACAGTACATTTGATACACACCCAAAGGCTAAACTGCTACTCTCTCCATGTTTCTCCTCAAAATGGCTAACACTTGAAATGCAAGAAAATAACAAGGACTCATTATTGACTCAAATTGAGAGTTTCCAAAAGTTGTTTCTAAAATTTTGGTTATGTCGGTACAGTTATGCTCCCTTCCCCAAATACTGCTCCACTTTTATTCTTGTATTGTCTGTTGCTGGTGTTTCGTGTTTTTTAAAGCATACACAAATCAGATCAAACTATCTCAAACTCAATGCATATAGTTTTTCTGAAGAACAATGTTTAAATGTCAGGGAGAGATTTCCTAAGAGTTTTTTGGGAAATAGTATTTTACTTTTCAAAGATTCTTACCCAACCATATTCATGGCACTGAATAAACAATGCAAAAATGAAGGATAATATTCTGCAGGATTACCAAGACTGAGATAGTCTCAAAATTAATTCATATTTAACTCATATTTCAATAAATATAAGAAATTCATATTAAAAATAAAACTAAAAGTTTCTATTTTAAAATAAAAATTAATGAATAACCATGTTTTGCTTAATTCTATATTTTATAAGCAGAACACATTGGTTTAACTCTACTGTCTTCAAAACACAAGACCAGGAATAATGAGAAAAGAAGGAAGATAGGCAAGAATGAAGGGAAAAAAAGAAAGAAGCAGAGAGAAATATTATTTCCTTCAGATTTGGGGGCCTCAGATGATTATGTTTCAGTGAACCAGTCAGAAGTACAAGTTTTCTAAGAATGTCTTGCCCTGAACAGAACAAAACAAATAAAAATACAGATCCCATTCACCTTGGAGATGGTGATACGATCCTTATGGGAAGGTAAATTTCTAATGGGAAGGGACGGCTTGCTGTCTAGCTGTATCTGCCTGGGCCAGTTCTCAGTGCAAAAGTAATGGGAATAATGGGCTGACGTGTTAAGACGTGGATGGTCTCGAATAGCTTTAGAGTGGACTGCGTGGTTTTGAGTCTGCTAACTCCAGGACATGGAAAGATAATTGGATACCACAAATACCACCTGCAAAATACCTGGTTTACCCTGAGAAATAGTCTTTTCTGGTTTCCCTGTGTCTTGTTCTGAAAATAATGAAAAGAGAATCATTTCAGGTATTTCAAAGCTTTTATAAATTAGTATACAATCATATGTTTTGTGTTAGGCCAGTGGTTTGTAAAATAGAAAATAACAAACAATTGTTCTTGTGAAAAAAAAGTAATTCTAAACTTTCATGTCATCTCATTTCATACATAAAAAAAGATTTTGGTTCATGAATCAACATACTAAGGATTCTTATTTATATTTAACCATGTATAATTTTCAAAGCTCAGGCTTTAATAAAGCAAGAATATAAAACCATAGGTTAAAAATGTATGATTTTAGAAATATGTAAATATTTTCTTGTAGAAGATTTCATAAAAACATTATAAATTAAATGATTATACATACTGTGTGTTTTTTCAGAGGAAGCTAAAAAGGAATAAATCATACAGTAAGTTTACACAACAAAAATACAATAATTAACAATAATAAATATAAATTTAGCTATTTACTAAATAAAACTAGCTTTAAATGGAATGTACTTTTGTTTTTTAAAAAATGCATGTATCTGGTAGTAAATGCAATCAGAAAAATAAATCAAAAGCATAAAGTGGTAGGTAGGTATTTATGACCTTTTTTGCATTACATATATGTTACAAGAGCAAGTACAGTTAAGCTATACATAATTGCAAGTTAGCTCTGGTGAGAATTAAAGAGGTGAGGTAGTGTTATATATAAATCGAGATTTGGATGCTTGAATTTATTGATATTGAAGATTTTTCTATATAATTTTTTGTGATGAAGGAATAAATAACTTGTGTAGAGCTTGAGGCTTTTTAAAAACTTGCCACAGGTCAACGCTCCTTGGTATCAGAGCGAGGACTTAAACATTAAATGCCAATGTAAGCCAGACAGGTCACCTTATATTTAGGCCAATGTTACCTTTAATAACATTACAGAGTCTGAAATGATTTCTTAGTACAATTACCCAGGGTTTGCAACAAATCAGATGTGTGGCAGAATCCAAGCTCCAATATGTATTAGCTTAGGGATAGATCTTTGAAAAATAACTGCTGTTCTGAACTTGCTCTGTTAAACTCTTCCCATAGACACTGAACACAAACAATAATTACTACGCCGTGTTTCTCACAGCAATATGATAAAAATAAACATACAGTGTTGGTGCTTAGCCACAGTGCACGCGTGATAGATTCTTGTCACCTTTCCCTTCACATCCCAGTCCGTAGCTTTTGCCAAAAGGCTAACATGACCATATGTAATTTCAAAAAACCCCAAAGCAAATAAATGGGAAATGAGAAGAAAATGTTCAAATGGGAAGGGGAACACGGGAAGAGGGAGGGAGAAAGAAAGGAAGGGATAAGAAAATGAGTGAAAATAGAAGGGAGAATGGAAAGAAAACTTTTGTCCATGGGGAGGGGAGGGGGCTTGAGGGGAAGGGCGGGCATACATAAAATTTATTAAAAAGCCC